GCCAGCATCACACGGCCACCACGGCCCCCACCACCTCCCGCCAGCCCGGGGCTCCTGGCCACAGGCAGGACTGGCGTTCACTCCCCCATCCGCGGCACCTTTACAACTGGCTGACCAGGGTGTCTTCGTGTGGCTCTGGGCCACGTCCAGCTCCGCTCCTTCTCTGAGGAAGAGCCTGGGAATGACAGCCCTGCGCCCCGTGGCACCCCCACGAGGAGCAACAAGGTCTGGGCCGGCTGCAGCAGGGGTGGGTCCCACCCTGCTCAGGACAGGGCGCCCTTTCCCCACTTGCCCTCTGTCATCCGCTTCAGCACCTCAGCCCACAGCCAGGCGCGGGGCTCAGAAACTGCGCGAGCGAGATGGGTCAGTCTGTGATGCACAGAGAGACAAGAGGCAGCACTCTCTCAGTAACACTGTGAAAATGTGGACTCAGGTGTCCCTGGTAGCCTAGCCCATGGCAGGGGCACGGAGCCCCGACAGGGGACCGGGAAGGCCTCAGGCCAACTTCACCCGCCAAACTGAGCAACAGTGCCACTCCCAACAGCCAGAACGAGTCCGCTTTAGATGTTAACTAGCTTCTTCCTAAAATTGGTAAGTGGGGCCCAGACTCTCCAGGGACACGTGCCAGCCCCTGTCCACCACACAGGGCATCTCAGCATCAATCCCTCTTCTCCAGCTCCATCGGAGGCAGACCTTCGGGCCAGAGCTTCCCCGGAAAGCAGTCAGTTGGCCTCACCCAAAGGAAATTGCTCTGGGGATAAAGCCAGCCCTGAGTCCAGGCTGCCAACAGCCCTGTCTACTACCCAGAAGTGAGGAAGGCTCTGGAAGCACAGGAAGGTGCAGCTGGGGCACTGAACCTGCCGCTGCACACCTCGGGCGGGAGGCCGCAGTAGGCCTACCCCAGCCGGGCAAGGCTCCTGGGAGGCTGGAGCCTGGGCAGGGCTGGGCAGGGCCAGCTTAGCGGAAGGGCCACTCTGCACTCCCACAGCAGAGTCCTTGCCAGCCTCCGACGGATGAAGGTTTTAGAGCCCAGTCAGGCCCTGCGACTGTGGAAAGAAAGGACCAGGAGCTGGCAAGCAGCCAGATGTGAAAGGCATAGGAGAGCAGATAGCACCCAGCGGGAAGCCACGCGCCCCTACCCCTCCAGGCCCGAGGCTGCCTGCACATGGTCTCCGCACACCCAGGGGCGTGTGGAGCTCTGTGTCCTGACATGCCAGGCCTGCCTGAGCGCCTGAGTCCAGGCTGCTTTCTTTACAGAGACCAGGAGCAGGAAAACTACCCTAGGAAAGCCACACCTGGCCACCTCAGAGCTGAGGGTTTGGGGTCAGCGCCTGTGACCAGGGGCTTGGACCAGAGAGGCAGGGACCAAGGGCACCGCCACATGGGTGGCCCAGCCAGGCTCTGAGCAGGCCTGCCCGCCACTGGCCCGGTGAAGCAGCGGTGCCCAGACTTCCGGCGGATCAAAGGGACGTGCTGGGGAGAACGAAGCAGCTGCCAAAGCACTCCGCCTTGAAGTCGAGCGCCCCAGGCAGGGGCTTTGGAGCACCGAGGATGGATACAGGCAGGACCACCCTTGACGAGGTGGGGGCCACGGTCTCTCTGCCCTGCAAACCCAGGTGTTCCTATACCTACCCTCAGTGTGGGGAGCAAGGTCATCCCTGGAGCTGTTTCTCCAGGCTGAGGACCTGCGTAAGTGTCAGAGCTCCAGGAAGTGTCAGAGCCAAAGAGAGACCAGCACCCCACTTTCAGAGCCCACACAGGGCCACCCTGAGGCTGACGGGCAGCCTCAGGCTGAGAGTCTCTCTAAGGACCTAACACCTGGAATGAGGCTCGATGGGTCTCCCCAAGCATCGGAGAGGCAGGGACCGTGACTGCACTCCCACAAAGACCTCTGATTCAAGAGGCGGCCACCCTGCCCGAGCTGCGCAGAGCTGCCAGCCACTCCTGAGAAGCCCCTTTCTCCCCATCAGGCTGCTACAACCCCCGGCAGAGGTGTGGGGACCCGATGTGCCCCTCCTATGGCCCAGGTTAGAGTGTCACAGCCTGACCCCACACCATCCGTCCAAGCCCAGCGCCCTGCACAAGTCCACCCAGCACCGCCAGACCGGCCCTTGTCCACAGGAGCTCGCTGGCCGTGACCGTCAAAGACAGCGCGTCCTGGACGCAGGAACTCGGACTGCTCAGTCTCTGGAAACCTGGGTTTGGAGCGGCTGAAAGATGAACACGAAGCTGAACAGAAAGCGAAACCTGTCACGCTCCAACAGGCCTGCGCCCCACGCCCAGAACCGCAGCCCCAGCATCCCCCACTGTGCTGTGCTCTCCAAGACTTGGGCCGCTCCTCCTGGAAGCCCACGGGGAGAGGCGGGCGGCACCCAGCCAGTTTCTCCCTTTCAGTTGCTCACACTTTGCATCACAGTCTGGGCCACCAGAGCCTGGACAGCTGAGGGCCCCAAGGCAGGAGAGGTGGTCTTGCTAGGAGCCACATGGGTAGGAGTATCAACCTGCCCACATGTCCCGCACACAGGTCCCCAGGGTGCGCCTAACCATCACACACCCTCCCAGGGCCCATGTTTCAACTCCCACCCCAGGCTGTGGCCCATCCCGGGGAGCCCTATCTCAGTCCCATACCTCAATGGCCCTGTGCCAGCTCTGCCCTGGTCTGGCCAGGCATGGCCCTCGTCCTAGGCTGTCCCCAGTGGAGGCTGTAGCCAGGGGCCCACAGCAAGCAGGGCAGGGCCAGCCCGCTCTCATCACAAGAACAAAGCAGCAAGGACTGTCCTGCCCCAGCCTGAGCTCCCTCTGGGACACGAGCTGACGGCATGGCTGGGCCCCTCGGGGCCCTCCCTGGTGAAGCAAGACCTCTGCTCTCAGCGGCTCTCCTCCGTCCTCAGGGGATAGGAACCTGGGGCTGACAGCCGTGCACTCCTGTGCTGTGAGTGTGGCCCCCCTGCATCCCGGGCCCGGGCTCCCTTCGCCCTGGGGACAGGAGGCAGTGAGCCCAGCAGCCCCACCCTGGGCCTGCCACCTGCACTGAGCAGAACCACACCACACCCCCACATCCTGCGGTCCCGCAAAAGTACAGGGAGGAGGCCGAGCCCCCCAAAGCCAGCCCGACCCAGCGAGGCAGCGGAGGTGGTAGTGGCCTGGGCCGTTCACGCTCCCGAGAGGTCCCAGCAGCTCCCCCTGTGTTCCTCAGTCCCGGCCCTTTTGCTGTCACAGGACCTGGCGGCAGAATGCTTCCTCTTCAGGGTGCTGCAGTCCAGGGTGACGGGGACCGTGCAGCCACCATGTGGGCAGAGCTAAGGCTTTCTGCAGGGGAGGCAGCCAGGGCACAGGGGGTCACCTGGGCCATGACTGTCATGACCTGCTATCCACAGGCCCAGGGACAGCCTAGGCACTGACCTGAGGTCACTCAGTCCCGCAGGCTGAAAGGCCTGGTGAGTGTCCCCCACAGTGCCTCAGCCCAGGCTTGACCCTAAGTCAAGCTTTCTTTACAAAGCGCACCAGCCCTGCCTGTGGGGGAGGCCAGATTGCACAGGGGGAGCAGGCCAGGTGCAGCTGGCAAGGCTGGAGGAGGCGGGGCCAGGCAGACCTCAAGCAGGTGGGAGCGGTCAGGCCAGGCCCAGGCAGGAAGGAGCTGGCCCATCCCTACCTGCGACACAGTAGAGGGCTGTGGGGGAGGGCGGGAGAGCCGAGGGGGCCTGTGCCTGAGAGAGGAACCCAGTCCTCAGACCCTGTGGCACAGCCTATCTGTGCGGACCTCTGCTCTCTCTCGTTCGGGCCATCGGTGCGAACGTGGTGGTCTCGGGCCTTTGCCTTCACAGCAGCGGGGCGCGGTAAGGACAGACGGGGCAGGTCTGCAGCGGGCACCGATGCCAGCAGCAGTGGGGAGGCCCTCCCACACCTCGCCTCCCTCCCCACAGACCTCCCAGCTCTACTGCGGGGGGCGGGGGGGCACCGCGCACGGTGCCCTGCCTGCGCCTCCTCCTCCTCCTCCGCAGCATCTCCAGAGGTCACCTGTCATCAGCGGCCAAGCGCACAGCCCGCCTGTCCCACACTCTTGTTTCTGAGCGTACAAGAGTCACGTGGAGGGAACCAAAACACTGCCGGCAATGCCAGCTACTAAGCCGCTCGTCCGCCCGGCAGGCCTGGGGGACAAGGGATATCCTGACCAGTTTGCCGGCACGGACCCCAGCCTGGCGGGAGATCAGGTGCAGCGGAGGCGCCGGGAAGGTCGCGGGGAGGGAGACGCGGTTCTGGGGCGGGCGGGATACGCGCTGCGGAAGCCGGGTGCGGGGCGCGCGAATGGGGTGCGCACTGGGGCGCAGAGGCGCGGGACCGTGCGGGCTCCGGTGGGGGGGGCGGGGAGGTCCCGGATTGGCGCGAGCGGGGCGTGATGTCACGTCCGGCGGGGGAAGCCCTGCCTCGGCGGCCCCTGCCCCCGCCCCACAGGTGGCGCCGCCGCCCCAGGCGCTGGGCTTGGGGGTCCCGCCCTGGGGGACCCCCGGACGCTGCCCTCACGCTCCCGACTCCTCCCGCCT